GGTACGAAAAGATGAATGCCTATCTCCTCAGCAGTGGTTAGTATGTGTAAGCGCACTGCTGCAGAGGGGTGGGTTGTGGGCACGCGATAGATTACACTGAACTTGGATTCTGATCTAATTGGATGGCCTATATCCCCTAGGTGACCAAGAATGGCGCTTTCTGGGCTCCCTAGTCGTCCTTGTCTTAACCAGCGTGTGCAGTGCTTCTTTTTTGGTTGGGGTAGTTGCCTCGCCGCGCTGCCAATGAATGTTGCATTACAAACGCACCGGAACGAGCAGATGACCGTAGAAGAGGCCGCTGTGGTTAGCCTATCTTTGTCACTGATTCGGATGATTGGTGAGCCCGCGGACACACATGATAAATGAGCTGTGTTGTATGTCCGCTTCGCTGCAAGCGACAGACGCTTGTTTAAGAAATCCGATATAGCATCTCCTATTCACCGCGGAGGGGATAGGCATTCGTCTTTTCGTACCAGAACTATGCGCGAAAAAGCGACTGGTCCAAGCTCTCCGCTTACCCTAGCCTCGAAATGAACAACAACATCACTACTATCACCACCATCATCACCACCAATACACCAATCATAATCAGTCTCACCCGAATAGGCTGACACAAGGTTTACCTCACTCATCCTGTCTTCGCATCCCGAATGACTTTGACCCAGCATGAAAATGTCCGCACCACCAACAAACTCTTATATGACCTTTACAGGCACGGATATCAATCATTGAAAAACAATTTTGTTCTAAAATTATTTCATTTTACTCACAGTTACTTGTGAGTAGTGCTGTGGGATAATGGATGTTGATTGATTTGATCGACTTGGGTTAACAAATAGTCAATTGTGTCTCCCTTCATTCCAGTCGGGCCGAAATGAACTGACTGAAGACGAGACCTAAACAAAGATGAATTGGCAATTTGGTTTAGCCCGGGGCATAAGTGGGCTGACACAGTGGTAACAAACACGCCTTCCACGCGATGGGTCCGGAGTTCAAATCCCTGATGCGACGGTGGGCATGCACCACCGATGAGCTCCAATAAGAGCGAAATTCAATTCTGGTGCTTCCGAGTGTATGGTTGGCTGGAAGAGCTGAGGAATGTGCGTGAAAGTGAAAGTGAACTCTGAAGGATGGTCAATTGAAACCAGTCAATTCTTAGTATAGTTTGCTGACAATTGTAATGGAAAATTGTAACCATCTTTCATAGTTTACTTTCACTCGAATGCGTTTTGGAGTTTTGGTAATAGGATCGGGGACTGAATTGCGAAAAAGAAATTACAAGATTCAGTGGAACACGGAAACATCGAGCTTTTCTCCACCTTTGGACGAAAGGGAGTGTTGTTTACTGTGCTTATACAAGCACCATATCAAAGGAGAGTAATTGATTTAATAACTTTTAACTCAGATTTTCACATATTTTATAAGTAAGTATGAAAATAATCCCACTTGTCTGTAGGTC